CACTCCAAACGCTTTCAAAATGTTCATGATCGGGAACACATACCCAAGAGACCCTTTTGTCTTCATGAGAATAAGGTTATTGCAAAAGAATTTTGCCCAATTGATTTTGATATCGTTCAAAAACACGAAGAGAAGACGAGTGTCCGAAATAAGTATTTTGGAATGGCTCGACTTACGAGGAGCTAAAACTTTGGAAATGAAGTAATGAAGAATTCGAAAATGAGGCTTAAGACCTCCAACTGTTAGGCGTTCTCGCCCAAGAATTTCTTCAAGGCACACCTCGGTAATTGTGTCGTAAGAGGAAAAGTTTTTGAATTCCTTAGAAGCAAACTTGTGAAAATCACAACCCTCAAAAGAAAATTTAAAAAGTTCACCGATATCTTTGAGAGTCATCTCAATGTCGGTGCCATTAACGGAGGTTTTGAGGACCCGTCCGTTGAAAGTGGGATTTGTATAAAACAACCGAATTAGATTCGGACAATACACAGGAAAATTCTCACGAACAAAAGAAGTAACACCAAGTCTATCAATGAAAATTGTGGCATCTTGGAAAGGTAGATGACAAAGTACGGTATGAAGAACGCATTTGGGTGTCAAAATGGGACGATTCAAGAAGTCATTATAGAAGAGGCGTTTAGAATCACCTCTCGGAAAGACAAATGAAGAGACAAATCGTTCCTCTTGGGTAGATGGTTCACCTTCATGAGATTTTGTACGCAAACGTTTACTTCCTCTACGATCGGACATGGTGGCTAGGGTTTGAGCACGAGAAGAACGAGAAACCCTAAGAGAGAAAGGAAAGAGCACTTAATCTCAAGTAAACGAGAAAATAAGCAACAATAATCATCAATTTGCAACAATTAACAAGTAATTTGCAAGAAGTTGAAGAGAAGAGGCGAAGAAATCGAACCTAGGATTCGTTGAAGCTGGTCGCCGATCTAGAGAGTGACAGAGCAGACAGAGACGATGAAAAAAAAAATGGGAAAAACGAAGAAGGGAGAGTATATATACCGTAAGTCAGAGTGATCGATCCATCCAAGGAGATCGATCCTCCGTAAAAGAGTACCTGCTCCGTTTAAGTCCAGGTGATCGATCCCTATGCTTGGATCGATCCGCCGAAACGGATCCTGGAACCAAATAAAAACATGGATCGATCCATAATCCTGGATCGGTCCTCCTGGCGTTGGGCTGAATACAGATTTGATTATTTCGCCCAGGTGATCGGTCCATTGGGTGGGTCGATCCTATATCTGGGATCGATCCCCCGAAGTTTAATTTGAAAAACTTCATTTTGGGTGATCGATCCAATTGTGGAGATCGATCCCCTCTGTTCCAGTTTCGAAAACTGCCCTGAAACACTGAAAATATACCCTGCAAAAAAGAATTATTGCGCCTCCGACGCTCAAATTAGTACCATCAATAAAAAGAATGAATTAATTCATAGAGATATCCAAAATGCCAAGTTCGTTCCGAATGTGGAAGAAACTCTCCCTACCAAGGGGTTTCGTGAAAATGTCCGCCAATTGATGTTTCGTTTCAACAAACTCAATTGTGACATCTCCCTTTTGGACATGATCTCGTATGAAGTGATGTCTAATTTCTATGTGTTTAGTCCGCGAGTGAAGAACGGGGTTCTTCGTTAGACTAATAGCACTCATATTGTCACACCTAATTGGGATGTGATCAAGTATAAGGCCGAAATCCACTA